TCCCTGCCGGAAGCCCAATGCAGTACTCAATTCCAGGGCCCCAGGATCATGACCTGGGCTGAAGGCAGACTCTCAGCCACTGAGCCACCCAGGCACCCCTGATCGAGGACAGATTCTATTAGAAAACAGAAATGGGTAGAGGCGTCTGCGTGGCTCAGTTGGTTAAGCATCCAGCTCTTCATCTCAGCTCAGCTTTCCATTTTGCGGTCCTGAGTTCAAGCCCTGCATTGGGCTCCATGTTGGGCATGGAACTTACTTAAAAAAGAAAAAAAAAAAAAAAAGCAAGTAACAGGAATATCCATATGAGTCTTTGTATTGCACAAGAAAACAAGACTGATCATCTAGGGGTTCTCATTTTAACACCTTTCTGAATCAGAGTCTTTGAATAGCTTGTAGAGGTGGCAAGAGGCCTCCCATTGCCATTGTCACTACAAATGAGAGGGGGCCTATCCCCCCCCTCCCTTCTGGAAATGTCTTTCATTCATTGTGAGGATTTGCTTTTCTATAGCCGGGCCATGTGATTTCAGTCTTCTTTACTCTAAGCAAAGAGCAGGCCTGGCAGAAATGGGTGAGGAAAGAATAGGAGTTTACTTAATGATAGTGAAATAAGGAGTATATGGTGTTAATTGCCCTTGTTCTGTGTACTTGTTGTGTGGTGTGCAGTTGCAAGGCTATCTGTGTGTCAGGTGGTAATACTCTGTATATAAGAACCCCTCCCCTTCCACACCTGAGCCTCCGTCCATTGCAGTGAGCAATTGCTTTATAAGGAAAAAAACTCATTTACACGGGGCATTGCTGAATCTTCAGCACCCAGAACAGCGCCTGGCACCTAGTAGTTGTTCAATAAACAATAATCGCAAATACTTACATAGAGCTCACCATGTGCCAGGCACAGTTCTATGCATTTGATGTGCATTAGCCCACTTAGGCCTCATAACAACTTGGGGAGGAGGTATTATTATATTGCCTCTTTACAGGGAAGGAAAATGAGGCACAGAGAGGTTCAGCCGCATGCTCAAGGTCACACAGCTCAAAAGTGGCATGGTAGGGATTTGAACCCAGGCCACTGCCTGCAGAGCCATTGCTCTTAGCCATCAGGCAGTACTAGTTGTCTAGGAAATGTTTATGGAATGAACGAATGAGTGAACTTCGTGTGCTGAATATGCACATGTGTGAGCAAGGAGAGCATGGATTATGCATCCATATCTGTCTGTGTATAGACTTGGGGGTATATGAGCATTGCTGTTCTCCTGTGTACCATGCGTGTGTACAAGTGTGACATGTGCGTGCTTGTGTTTTTCAAAGGGGATGGGGTGGCTTTGGTCCAGCCTAAATTGGGATGTGTCCAGCCCAGAAGGGATTTGGTGAGGGTGGGGAAGGGGTTGTAGCTTCTCAAAGAGCTGGTGGGAGGACCACCCACAGGCCCTCCTGCATATTGTTATGCAAACGAGATGCAAACAAGGGTCTGGTCTTCAGCCCCCAGACCAATTCTCCAAAAGCCAGTTCCCTCAGCGAACATTTGGGTTGTCTGAGCAGCTAGAGACTGGGGGGAAGGGAGGCGCGGGGGACATAAGAAGGATATATTTATAAATCCATTCCCTTGAATATGAAAAATGTCTATGAATAGAAACTTCATAAATAAAATCTTATTCATTAAAATATATCCCTCTGAATTCTTCATATTTGGTAATGTAAGAATGTTAAATATATATACTTAATCAGTCATTTCTAAGAATATGTTTATAAGCAAATATAAAGAGAATATTTTGTTCTTATGCCTTTTTATTCTCCCCTTCTCTGTCCCTTGTCACCCCCGCCCCCACCCGTCTCCCCTCTCTACCCAGGCTGTGCTAAATGCCAACTCTTTTTTTTTTTCTGTCTCCTTCCACAGAGAGAGCTTGGGAAGACACACATAATTTTATTTTAAAAGCTATTATCATAAAAAGCATTCAACAAAAATTAAATCCTTAAAGGCAACAAGTAAATGTGGCACATTATTTTCTGCACAATGCCCTTCTGCCCCTGAACGAGATCGCCTCCTATGACAGGACGTCATCTGAAGGGGCTGCCTGGGCTGGGGGCCGGGGATGCTCCCTGACTTCCACTCCCCTTTTTGCCCTGTACCCCAGCCGGGTGGAAGAGACCGGAGTGGTGCTGTCCCTGGAGCAAACGGAGCGACACTCTCGCAGACATTCTCAGCGGGGCACCCCCTCCCAGAAGGACACCCCTAATCCCGGGGACAGCCTTGGTATGGGGCAGGGCCGGGACCGGGAGGGGTTGTGGCTCCAGAAAAGCCCAAATGCCTTAATAAAGGGCTCACCAGGCCCTGTGTGACCAGACTCCTGTCTCCTTCCTCTTCTCACTCTCTGAGCGGCATCAGATTCCTTAGTTAGCCTTCTTGGAACATGCTAGACTCTCATGCATCAGGACCTATGCACTGGCAGTTTCCTCTGCCCAGAATGCTCTTCTCTCTGCTATCCTTCGTCTTCTCCTGTGTCCTTGGGATGATTCTTTCAGTCTTGTGGCTCCTCTGCTCTGAATCCTGCTATGGCTCCCCATGGCCCCCACCCTTCAGCTGGTTGGGTCCCTGCTCCCACCTCACTGCTCCTTGGCATCCAGGAATCTTGACCCTCCCAAGTCTGGCTCCTTTCTCGGTGACTCCCCAATCCTGGACCAGCTTCTCTTCCTGTTGGTTCTTCAAGGCCAATCACCTTCTCCAAGCTGTCACTGGCAGCCAGTGCTCCTGGGTGTGGTATGGGGTCACTGATATCCTTTCCTTTTCTGGCTCAGAACTCCCCTCCAGGGACCTTAGAACCTCCTTGAGGCCCTGGGCCAGTCTTTTCTCCTAATATGCAAGCCCCCCAGAGCTGAGTGGCTGATGGCTGTTCTGTGTCACTGGAAAATAGGGTCAGTCGTGGGCCTCGGCCCAGCCGTATTGATTTTAAATAGTAAAACGTTTCCCCATCTTTGGGCAGTTGCTACTATCCCGAGCCTACTGTGTGCCCCCCACCCTGCACTGGCCCCCCGAGGACCCTCCACGGTCTCACCAGAATCTGGCAACGGAAGGGATTAGACTTGGTCCAGTAAGCGTTCTGCAGAACTTAGCTCCGCAGCACGTGAATGGCATCCCCTCTGATACTTTGTTGAAAATGTCAATGAGGCTCCCTGGGGTTGGTGTGGAGGGCTCTGCCCCTCAGCCCTGGATGACCATTCTGTGTCCTCCCCATCTCTGCGTCTCGTAGATGCCTCTGGTCCCCGGATCCTGGCCTTCCTGCACCCCCCTGCCCTGAGCGAAGCCACCCTGGCCGCTGATCCCCGCCGCTTCTGTAGCCCTGACCTTCGTCGCCTCCTGGCACCAATCCTGGATGGGACTTCAGTAGCCGCCACCCCCAGCGCACCCCTAGCCACACGGCGCCCCCAAAGTCCTCTTCCGGTAAGCAGTTCCTCCTGAGTAAACCCTCAGGATCCATGCTGCTTTGGCTTCTGGCTTTTGAATCTTGCTATTCTCTGGGCCTCAGTTCTCCATCTGTGCAATGGGAAGGCTGTGGTTCCCTTAAGACCTACATCTCAGATTCTTCAACTTTTATCTGGACCAAAACCTGGGATATTTGGGACTGCCATGGGTGACCCCCTCCTTGCTTTCTGACCAATCATCCAGGCTCTCAAACAGTCAAGAATGTCTAATGTCTTAAATTACACAAACCAGGATTCAAGTCCTGAATCTGCCACTTACCAGCTATGTTGTCCTGGGCAAGTGGGCTCTCCGTGTCTTTATATATATATAATTAGGATCACAGCAAGTAGCTATCTCATTGATTGTTTTGAGGGTTCATTGAGATCATTCATGGGAAGTGCTTAGTAGACACCTGATACCTAGTAGGTGCTCAGTATACCAGAGCAGTTACATTTTTTACGTGAGTTCACATAGTGTGACTTTTTTTTTTTTTTTGAAGATTTCTTAATTTATCCATGAAAGACACAGAGACATAGGCAGAGGGAGAAGCAGGCTCCCTGCGGGGAGCCCAATGTGGGACTCCATCCCAGGACCCTGGGATCACGCCCTGAGCTGAAGGCAGACGCTCAATCACTGAGCCACACAGGCACCCATAGTATAACCTTTGACTCAGGGGCCCATATTATATGATGTTGACTTTCTCATCCTTACCCAACCACCCCCACCCCTAAAATCTTTTCTCCACCAGCAAAATAAGACTGTGGCCTTTGACCTCACCTGGGAGAGTGGACTCTGCATCATTTTTACCCAAACTTCAGATTCCAAGACCTTTAACTCTAGAGGGCCTGAATACCTTGGCCTCAGGCTTTAGTCTTTTAATCTTTGAGTTTACCCTGTCAAGCTATCCCTAGCTTCTTCCACCTACTGAACACCGGGGTCCAGAATTCATTCACTTTTGCTGTTTGACTTCCTTGGTGTCCCAGCCATCTGACATTTAACCCTCACTTCTACCCCTGAGCTCAAATACCAGACTATCTTACTGTTAACATTTCCTAGGCTCCAGATTTCCTTTAAGTGGCTACTCTCTCCCCACAGGCTGATCTCCCAGATGAACCACTCATGAACATGGAGAATACACACAAACTCTTGGCCTCAGGGAAAGACCTTGAGGCTGTGGAGACGGATCTAGATATAGCTCAGGTAAGGGCTGGCCTGGAAGAAACAGTCTATGTCTGTGCTCTGGGGGCTGATATATCTGAGCTTTAGAGAGGGTGACTGAATGGTTAGGGGCATGAGTGGATGGATGGATAGAAAGGTCACTGTATTCATTAGGTGGATGATGGTCGATGGATGGATGATGGTTAGATAGATACATGGATGGATGGATGGATATTGGATGTTTGGATGAGTAGTTAGGCCACTGGTTCTTTGGATAGATGATGGATGGATGGATACTTGAATGTTTGAGTGGCTAGATAAATGACAGTGATATGATGTATTATATATTGCTGCATAATAAATCATCCCCAAACAGAGCACCTTGAAAGAAGTAACATTTATTTAGTCACACTATTTCTGAGATTCAGGAATCTGGGAGCAGCTCAGCTGGTTTTTGCTGAGTCCCTTGTTTGGATGAAGTCAAGCGCTCCATCAGGGGTTCAGTCATGTGGGGCTAGAGGATCCACTTCCAAGCTCATATACATGGTTGTTGACAGGCATCAGCCCCTCACTGGCTCTGGCTGGAAGCCTCAGTTCCTTACCACATAGGCTGTCTGGCTTTCCCCAAGGCAAGGAATCCAAGAGATAACAAGAGTGAGCCCAAGACAGAAAATGCAGTCTTTTATAACCTAATCTCAGAAGCAACTATATTTATTGGTCATACAGACCAACCCGGATACAATGCAGAAGGCATCTCCATACACCAGAAGGTGAGGATCATTGGGGCCCCCAATAATTCATGTCTCTCCCTCCTGCAAAATATACTCACCTCTTCCCAAGTGCCCCCAAAGTCTCTTCCCATGACAGCATCAGCCTAAAGTCTGGAACCTCATCACCTACATCAGGCCTGAGAGTGGTGAAGCCCTCACTCTGTTGGCCTGTGAACTAAAGAGACAAGTGATGTGCCAGCCACATGCCCCATATACAATGGTGGGACAGGCACAAAGTACGGCCATGTGTTCTCCTATTCAAAAAGAGCGAGAGGATTGGAGGGTGTACAGGTGTCACTGGTCCACAGCAATTTTGAAATCTGGTTGGACAACTGTGGGAAGTTCCTTGATGAGAACTTATTCCTACTACTTTCTCCATGGTTCTTGACTCCACCCTCTAGACTAGACTCCTTGCTTGGACTCCTCCTTGCTTCTTCATAAAAGGTAACATGTTTTTGCAGCTGAGAGGGTTTTCATGACCTGCTTTCTTGTTAGGGGACTTTGGTGACCCAAAGGCTCTTTTCATTTAGTAACCATCTCTGTCCCTTCCAGTCCAAGCTGGCAACATTTCTGTTTATATATTAATCTGTAAAAAAAAAAAAAAAAAGTGTGGGTCTTATGTGAATCTCTTTGGAGTTCACTCCATTACACAAAAGTCATGCCCATGATCTCTTTGAGATAAGCCCCTACCTTGGGGCTTTTACTGAGATGCTGAGTGACAGTGCCTGGAAGTTTAATAGAAGCCCTGTTGTCTGATTGAGAAGACACATCCTTAAACTCTAGTGCGCCGTTGTCTGACTGCAGGATATTCTAGGCAACACCTTTGATCTTTCCAAAGCCATCACCAAGAATTTTATAGTCACACCTTGGGCTTCATCTTTAGACCATGCCTTCCCAAGAGTGCTCTTTTTGGCTCAGGTTTAGCATCCTTTGCCATCTGGGCAAACACAAGGTGAAGGCTGCAGTCCTCCCGTCTGCCAAGTCTATCCAAGACTCCTGACATCAGTTACAAGCTTGGGAGGCCCCAGGGCCATCCGCACTTCAGATTAGCTGCCTACAAATTCAGAGATTCCCACTGAGTCCCTCAGTTTCAATAATTGCTAGAAGTAGCTCTAGAGAGACACCCCTGGGTGGCTCAGTGGCTGAGCATCTGCCTTTGGCTCAGGGTGTGATCCCGGGGTCCTGGGATCGAGTCCCACATTGGGCTCCCCACGGTGAGCCTGCTTCTGCCTCTGCCTATGTCTCTGCCCCCTCTCTGTCTCTCTCATGAATAAATAAATAAAATCTTAAAAAAAAAAGTAGCTCTAGAACTTAGGACAGCACTGGACTTATGATAATAGTTTTATTATAGTAAAAGAATATTATAGCCAAAGGAAGAGGTGCATAGGGTGGAATCTGGGACCGGGAGGGTCCCACATGCAAAGCTTTCATGACCCCAGAGACATATCACGCTCCTGGGAGCATACATGATGTATCACCACACCAGGAAGCTCACCCAAGCTGTGATGTCCAGAATTTTGTTTTTTTTTAATGATTAATTTATTATTTATTTGAGAGAGAGAGAGAGAAAGAGAGAGACCATAAATAGGGGGAGGGGCAGAGGTAGAGAATATCCAGACTCCTGCTGAGCACGGAGTCTGACATGGGGTTCCATCCCAGGACCGTGAGGTCATGACCTGAGCCGAAACCAAGAGTCGGATACAACCAATTGAGCCAGCCAGGTGCCCCAGGTGTCCAGTTTTCACTGAAGTGTCATTATGTATGCATGACTGGATTATTCCCCATGTAGTTAACCTTAATCTTCATCTTACCTCCCTGATACACACGCTTCCCCTGGAGGTCAGTCTGATCTCACGTGGCCCCAACCCTCCCATCACACGGTTGGCCATTCAGGCATGACCAGCCCCCAGCTTGAGTCATCTTGTTGGCACAGTACCAGATATGGCCCCAGGGGCTCACCCCGAGGAGCAAAGACATATCTGGCCATTCGGGAAATCACTACGAGCTGGGGCAAAGACCACACCTCATTTTGGGTAAAGTTGATTCTTCACAGGGAGGTTGAGAATCTTCCAAACCTTCAAGTTTCAGCTCCTTCTGTTTAACATTTCTCTTCTTAGGGCACCTGGGTGGCTCAGTGGTTGAGCGCCTGCCTTCAGTTCAGGTTATGATCCTGGGGTCCTGGGATCGAGTCCCACATCGGGCTCCCCACAAGGAGCCTGCTTCTCCCTCTGCTTATGTCTCTGCCTCTCTCTCTGTGTCTCTTATGAATAAATACATTCTTTAAAAAGAAAAGATTTCTCCTCTTGCCTTTACTCAGTGGCAAGAAGAAATCAGGCAGCCGTTCAGCATTCTGGCTGGCAATCTCACAGGTGGATTGCCCGGCTCACTAGTTATGTGTTCTGAGTTCCACAAAACTGCACACAACACTGGTGCTAAACTTTAGTCACTTCACAACAAAAATCCCCTTTCCTTGGGCTTCTGGTCACGTGTTCCTCACCTCCCTTTGTGCCCTCACTGGCCAGCTCCTTGTGCTTCATGTTTCCATTAATAGTTTGTTCAAGGCAATCTAGGCTCTGACTGGCTCTTCAAAGCCCTTCCAGCCCCTGCCCTTGCCCTACTGCCCAGTGCCAAATCCACTCTGCATTTTAGGCTTTTTGTTAGGGCAGCGCCCCACTCTTGGGATCAAAATTTTACTTGCTGTATGTTTCTGGGTAACACAATCCCCTAAAACTGAAAATAACAAGCGTGTATTAGCTCACATAATTTCTGGGGATCAGGGGCCTGGGAGTCACTTAGCAGGGTGGCTTTTGCTCTGGGTCTCTTGCGAGGTTGCAGTCCAGATGTCATCACCCAGGGCTGCGGTGACTTGAAGGCTTGAAAGGGACTAGAGGGTGCACTTCCAAGATGACTCACTGGTTTGCTGGCGGGAGGTCTGTTTCTTGCCATGTGAGCCTCTCCGTAGGGCTTCTCACAGAGCACGTGACCTGAGAGAGTTTGCAGCAGAAACAGAAGCCATGGTACCTTTATAATCTGATGTCCAGAGTCACACACTATCATCCCCTCAATATTCTATTGTTCCCAGATCAACCCTGGTCACCGTAGTAGGGGACTATACTAGGACACGAACACCAAGAGGTGAGGATCCTTGGGAGCCACCTTGGGGACTGGCTACCAGAGTCCTTCCACCCATTCTACAGATGAGGAAAGTGAAGCTCAGACTCTTGATGTCAGCCACACGGGCACACAACTCAGAGGTGGTAGAGCTGGGACTCAAGGCTCTTGTTCTTAACCTCCTTCTGCTTCCCGCAGGATGTCGATGCTCTGGATTTGGAGATGCTGGCCCCCTACATCTCCATGGATGATGACTTCCAGCTCAACTCCAGTGAGCAGCTACCCAGGGCCTTCCACAGACCTCCAGGAGCCATCCCCAGGCCCCGTGCACGGAGCTTCCATGGCCTGTCACCCCCAACCACTGAGTCCTCCCTGCTGCCCCGCTGGGGGAGTGACCCCCGGCTGAGCTGTTCCAGCCCTTCCAGAGGGGACCCCTCGGCCTCCTCCTCCATGGCTGGAGCTCGGAAGAGGTGAGGATATAAGGGGAGGGACCCCCTGTCTTGCTTCTGCCTCCTGTTTCAGCCCCATCCCTCATCATTCCTCCTACTGACCTGCTGGCCTCTGCTCCAGCTGGACTCTCGGTGTCCCCAGCCCATGCCATGTTCGTTTCAACCTCTGTTTTTGCCTCAGCTGTGCCCCCCCACCCCAGAGTGCCCTCCACTGTTCTTTTTGTTTATCCAGTCCACCAGAGCCCTCTCCTTTGGAACAGATTTTTATCTGGCCTAGTGATGATTTTTGTCACAGTTAAAAGGACATTGCAAGTGTCAAAGCAACTGTCTAAAACCAAGTTTCCTAACACCTTTGAGAATCTGTGGAAAGCTATGGACTCTTTCCCAAGAACATTTACACATACATACAGACGCACAATTTTGCATATAATTTCAGAGGGTTCATGTCTGCCTTCCAGAGACATTAAATTACTAATACTCGAGTTTTTACTTTCCATGTTGTAGGCATGTGCCCATTTAGTGTCCAGAATGGTCCCTTTACTATCTGTATGAGGCTTTATGGATACATCTCATTATTTCCCAAGGCTCTCAGCTTGGTGCTGGATATACAGTGGGTTCCTAAATAAAGACTTACTGAACAAGGGAAGGAGGAAATTAATAAATACAGCAGATGGATGGATGCTGAGTGGGTGGGTGGTAGATGGATCACTGGATGAATGGGAAGATGGATTGGTGGATGGGTGGGTAGATGGGTGGATGGATGGGTGGATGTATGATTGGTGGATGGAGAGATGGGTAAGTGGGTAGATGGATAGATGATGGATGGATGGGTGGATGGTGGATGGATGGGTGAGTGTATGAGTAAAGGAATAAACAGGCACCTGGGAGAGTGAATGAGTGCTTATCACCTGCTTACAGTGGTGCCCACACCTGCTTGGGTTGTTGTGTTCTGAGATTCTGTTTCCCTCCAGGACCCTAGCTCAGAGCTCAGAAGACGAGGCTGAGGGGGCGGAGCTGCTGGGAATGAGACCCCCAAACGGTCCCCTAGCCCAGAACCTGAAAACTTCCTGCTGCCTCCCCTCAGCCTGGTATGTTGGGTGACTCATGTGATTCTCTGGCCCTCAGAACCTAGTGGCCTTAAGCCTACTGTTTTATGGGTGGGAAAACCAGAGAGGGGCAGGTACTGGCTGAAGGTCAAATGGAAGGTCAGTCATCCAGGTGAGGCTAGGACCTTGATTTGCTAGCTCAGGTCAGGGGTATGGAAGAGCTGTGCAAATTTATGTAAGTTGGTGGTAAGTTCTAAGAAGAAAAATTAAGCAGGGTGAAGGGGAGAAATGACAAATGTTAGTAGGTATAGGAACCTCCTCTTCTCCCGAGAGCCTCCCCCCAAACCTAGACAGTTCTTGGCCTTGGATTATTAGTGTAGCATTAAGAGTCCAGACACTGGAGTCAGACTGACTTAAGTTGAAGTCCCAGGTCTGCCACCTAGTAACTGTGAGACCATCGGGCAGGTGGATGGGACCACTGTGAACCTCAGTTTCCTCATCTGGGAAGTGGGATGGTTACATCTCACAGGACTCAAGAGAAACAAATGAAATTAGGCCCATCCTTAGTGGCTGTGATAAATAGTATAAAAATAAGCAAGCAAAGGCAGCATCCCGTATCCCGCCTTCCCCCATCTCCCTGCTTCCATCTCACCTCTGCTGTCCTTTCTGCCCTTTCCAAAACCCCTCCTAGGCTGCACCACTTCCTCCCTCCAGGACCTTCCATGGCTCTCTGGCTCCTCACTCAGAGCAGGGCTATTTGTGGTTGATAGTATCAACAGCTGATATTTACCGAGTGCTTACCTTGCAGCAGACACTGTACTAAGTGCCTTGCATGATTAAGTTATTTAATCCCCATGACCACTCTTAAGATGTTGTTGCCATGGTCGTTACTATTAGCATTCACATTTGCACATGAGAGGACAAGCAACTGCATGGGTCAGTGTCTAGGAATCAGCAAGAGATGGTGCATCACCATGGGGCCAGCAGCACAGGGAGCTGGCACTGTCCCTTGCCTGAAGGCACAGGGCAGAGGGTGGTCACTCGATCCTGGAGACAGTAGGTCTTGTGAGAGCCAAAACCTTCCATGGCGGGACACAGCCAACCCAGGACGACCCAGCAGAGATACAGCTAGATCAGATACCCTTGCTTTCTCGTCCATTATGCTGGCATCTCCTGTTAACATGAACATGCGGAGCAAGGCTGCATATTGATTGGGTCCATGTGCATCGTCTACCTGCTGGGGCACAGGTGAAGGGCAGGACGGGGCTCTGGAGGGACACACGGAGGAGATGTAGGACATTGGCTTAATCCACAGTCACACAGCCCATAAGTGGCCGCTGGACCGTGCAGAGCTCTTAACCACATTGCACCATCCTGTCTCCTGGGATATTGATGATGATGATGGTGGTGGCAGCTTTGTCTCTCTCCTACAGAGTTTCCTTCTGACAGGAGGGCCAGCCCCAGGGAGCCAGCAGGATCCCAGCACCCACCTCCTGGAACTGAATGAGCCCCTGCGTGAGTAGCAAGGCCCTGGATCCCTCTCTCCCCAAGAAGGTGCCCCAGATGGTTGAGAGGGGGGGCAATCCAGAAGGTTGGGGGCGGCTGTCAGTGCCTGTATGCAACCCTGGTAAAGACAGACATCCCCTTTCTGCTCTCAGCAGCACTGTGAGGAGGAAAGAGAGGCCCCGAGGGGTGGAAGGCAGAGGCTTCCCAGAGCTGCCCTTTGGGGTGGAAGCTGAGCCACCAGGCTCAGTCTAGGCCTCCCGAAGCCTGTGTCTGATTATGCTTTGGGCTTGTCCTGCCTTGGTCATTCCCAGCTACGTGGCTTTGGGAAATAGTTTTTGCTTCTGGAGCCTTGCCTCCTCTGACAGATGTGTTATAATAGTTCTTACCTTAAGGAGATGTGTGCAGGAACTATGGAGGGGCAGCACAAGGAGAGCCCAGCACAAGATCTGATTGGTAGTAAACACTCAAGAAATGTCTGCCCTCACGCCATGTTGGCCCCAGAGCCCCGCCACCGAGCCACAGAGCGAGACCGGCTGCTAGACTTGTTTGTGCTACCATCCTCACCTTCCAGCACACCTGTCAGTAGCCAGAGCTCCACTCCAAACCTCCACACATCTGACCCAGGCCTCCCTCCGCTCCAAACTCATCCATGGCTCCCTAGTGCCCTTCCGAGAAAGAACAGGCTCCTCACCTTGTCCTCCAATCTCTGCGGGGTCTGACTGCTGCACATCCTCTGTTCCAGCCACAGTTATGGTCTTTTGTTTGGTTCATTCTGTCCTTCAGACATGAAACAAAGATTTAATGAACACAAATAAGTGCCAGGCACTGTCCTGGGAGCTGGGACACACCTGTGAACAAAACCGAAATCCCTGCTGTCACAGAGCTGAAGGGAGGCAAGAGAGGGAAACACATGCTTCTGGGAAAAATAATGCATGCAAAGGGAAAAGGAACTCTGGGGTGGGGGGAGGGGGGTGGGATTTCAATTTCAAGTAGTACAGTTAAGAGTGGTCTCATTGAGAAAGTGACATTTGAGCAAAGACTTGAAGGAAGTGAGAGAGTGAACCATGAAAATTTCTAGGGGAAGAGCATTCGAGGTGGAAGGAAGAGCAAATGCAAAGGTCTGAGGTAGAAGTGTATCTTAGCTGGGGGAAGCAAGGCCAGTACAGCTGCAGCAAAGAAGGAAGAAGGGTTGGGGGACTAATTACATGGGGACTCCAGAAGGCATCCTGCTGACTTTGAAGCAATCTGGCTTGAGGAGATAGCCTCAGGGCCTTTGCATATGCTGATCCTTCTGCCTGAAATGCTTTTCCTTCTATTCTTTGCCTAATTACTGCATCCTTTAGATCTCAGATCAAATATTACCCCTTCTGTGGAGCCCTCCCTAACTTCCTAAGCTCATGGTGTTTGTCATTTGATTTTTGGCTGACCTCTCCCTGTGGGTATGAGCCGTGTGAGGGCAGGGGCCAGGCTTATCTTGTCACTGCCATACTCTACAGTCTGGGTTAGGCAGGGCAGTGGCTGAGCACAGAGCAGGGCCTCAGTACGTTTGTAAAGGAAGAACTAAGATTTATCTAGCACTCACTCTGTGCCAAGTTTTGTGCGAAACCTACTGTATACACAATCGAACTGACACCCCTTGCTGGAACTCAGGATGGGGAGTTTCGTCTGTCCCATTACCTGCCCTGTCCCCCTGTGCCTGGCACACAGCAGGTGCTCAGTAGACATTTTCCGAATGGGGTAGGTATAAGTAAGTACGCCTGTTCCCTCAGTAACGACAGCTCATTTACTGAGCGCTCACCAGTGCTAATTATTGTTCAAAGCACTTTACAGGGATTCACTGGTTTACTTCCCACGGCAGCCCTGGAAAGGAAGTAGCAGTAGCCCATTTTGCAGATGAGGTAGCTGGCGCAGAGAGAGGTGAAGTCACCTGCCTCGGCTCACACAGCAAGTAAAGAGCGGCAAACTCAGGCAGCATCTGGCTCCAGCTGCCTTAAACATCCCGAGCACCCGAGGTTCAGAGATTAGAACTTGCCCACGATTTTCCTACGATGTGAATCCAGGCACACCTGCCTCACCACCCACGCTTTTAACTGTCATGAGGGGAAGATGGGTTTGGGTAGTAATTCCCCACTGGCTGACCTTCCCATCTTCCCCCACAGGCCTGGGCCCCTCGCTGCTCTCTCTCTACCCGGATGAGGACACCGTAGAGCCCAGGAGCCACTTCCAACCAGCGGTGGGCTTGGCCCAGGCCAACTGAGCCAGGCCCTCTTCCCTTCTCCCTGCCACTCCCCAGAAAGGACCTCAACCACACTCCACGCCGGCAGCCAACGCACAGGATGGGGGTGCCAAGAGAGGGGTTCCCTCTCTCTTCTTGGTGGCCCCTGCCCATCTTGGGCCTACCTCAGCCCTCACCCCTCTGCCCCTGACATCTGGGGGCTCTTTGGGGTGGTCTCAGCTCAGTGACCTCTGGGAGGGGGGTCCCTGGAGCCCTCCTCCTCCTTCTCTCAGGACTTCCCTTGGGTTCTCAATACTGCTTACCTCATCTCTTTCTCCAACTCTCCTGGCTCAATTTTGGTAATTGGGGCGGGGAGGGGGAGGTTGGGATTCAGACCTGTGTTTCTGGGCTCTGGGGAGTATTGATAACCATGATCACCTTTCTTTCCATCCATCTTTCTTTTATTTTTATCTTTGTTGTTTTAATGATGTTTTTAATCGCTATGAATTGCCTGGGGTCCATGAGAATGCAGGACCCTGATCCCCCCTCCTCCCTCAGGTGTTAATGGGGAGGGGCCTCTGGCGCAGACTTCACCCCTAGCAACTTCTGATCAATCCCTTAGCCTCCCAAGTGGCCACCCCGCTCCACCCGCCCCTCCACTTGGGACTTCTGCTGCCCCCAGCCTTGCCAGGACACTAGCTCCATTTACGGGCTTCCTATTACCAGGGGTAACCTGCAGCTTCCTCTGCTCCCGGACCATGCAACCTCAAGCTCTCTATGCTTCTAGACCACACAACCTCAGACCTTCTCTAGTCCTAGACTGCACAGCCCCCAGCAGGTTGGGTTCAGACCCCATATCCCCCAAACCCCTCTTCTCGTCCTGGACCCACCACCTCTAGCGCTGTCTCTTTTCATACTTCCGTGGTCTCCTAAGTTGTCTGGTTCTAGGTCTCACAGCTCCCAGGTCCCTCAAGCTCCAGAGCCTACACCCACCAGAGTCCTCTGGTTCTAGAACTCACTCTGACTTCCTCTGGTTCCAGACCTCTCTGTAAATAAGTCTCCCTTGTACCAGATGTCACATGCTCCAACTCCTGCTGATTCCACCTCTTACAACCAACAACTGCCTCTGATTCCAGACTGAACCCACAACCCAAGCTTCATATTGGTTTTAGTCTTCCTCATGTGTGATACATTTGGCTCCAAACCCAGAATTCCAAATTTCTAAGTCATTTTGGTGGTACACTTCACAATGCCCAGCTCATTCCTTTTCAACTTTTTACACTCAACACTTGTTTTTCCAATCAAAGAAGAGTAAAATGAGTTTTATGTCACTCTTACAACCATTATAGTACTTCCAGGGCAGACACCGCATGCCAGGTCTCTTCTGCTCTAGACCTTGTGACCTCCACCATCCACTGGTTCCTGACTACATCACCTTTAGAACTTGCAGTTCGCAGGACCCTGTGATTCCAGAGATGATTATCTCTTTTCTCTGATTTCTGAACGTGGCTTCAGATGTCTTCTGATTCCAGACCTCACCCTGTTAATTCCCATGGTTCTAGACCCCACAATCTTCAGTTCGCTCTCCAGATCTTATGACTCCAAATTACTCTAGATCTAGAACTTAGCTTTCAGACATCTTCTGATTATAGACCTTGCCTTTATACATTTTTCTAGACCCTACAATGCCCAACTCCTGATTTTAGATCTCATGACTCCAAAATCTCTCTGGTTCTAGAACTCAGTTCTTAGAGTTTTGCGAATTCTATTCTTGCTCTATAGATTCCTCTGGTTCTAGGCCTCACAGCCTCCAGCTATCTCTGACTTCAGATCCAAATTCTTTTGGTTCTAGAACTTAGCCTCCAGGTATTCCTGATTCTACAATCTGGATGTCACCCTGTGGATTCCTCTGGTTTGGATTCCTCTGACTCTCTGATTCCAGACCCCATCCTCGTAACTCTATTCTAGGCTTCCTATCCTACTCAACTTGCCCCACTTCCCGTTCTGTCTCAAGTCTTCCCATTCCAAGTCCCTCTGCTAGGGGACTTCATGCTCAAGCCTCGCCATCCTCAAGCTCATACCTTACAGTTTCCCTGTCCTAGAGCCACCATCACTGCCCCCCTCAGCTCTCCAGGGATGCACTTAGCTTTACTTTACCCCAGGTACCTGGGGGGACCTGGGGCTCCCTTTACAATCCAAGAGACTTCCCCAGCCGCACAGAGACACGCACAGCCCTATCTGCATATCACAGGGTGGGGAGAGAGGCCAGGACTCCTCAGTCCTCTACACCACCTTTGTGTCACTCTTACTTTCCAACCCTATTTCTACGATGGTGCTACTCGGGTCTCCCACACAAAAAGGCCTCCCTCTCTCAGCTCAATTCACCCCCTTTTTGGAAGGCACTTCTCACTCTGTTTTGTCATGGGATGGCCTATCCAGATTGGTGCTATGGGGGAAGAGGGTCTGGGCCCTCTCTCCCTCAGGGGGTAATCTGGGCCCTCAAATTAGGTTCGGGGAACTGGGCTGGGTTGGGGAAGGGAAGGGACTGGACCAGCCACTCTGGCTCTGAAACCCACTAATTTCTACACCACCATAAAGATCTTGCCTTGGTAGGCACCAGAGCTCCGTGTGTTGACTCATCTGTGGGGTTGCTTCAGGGTATGTGGGTACACTGGCTGTTCCATGTCGCTGTGTGTGTGTATGGTTGTGTTCCTATATGGGACTATGTAAAGTTGTATGCCTGGAGATGTTGTAAGTCTATTTATTGTGACATTTACTGTGACATAATTCTGTGAACCTGTGAGGGGTGGGGAGTTGTAATTTCTTCTACCTGTATGTTAGTATCTGAGTGAAATGATTCTGCTTTGTGTTTCTGGTTACTTTGGGTTTCTGTGTTCCTGAATGTGGGAGGTTTTGTGGTGTTACAATTATGCTTACACATATGGGACTGTTTTGACACTATCATTCTGTATACTGGTATCTGTATGACATGGTTCTCTGTACTTGAGTGTGTGTGTGTGTGTGAGAAAGAAAGAGAGAGGGAGAAAGAGAGACTGCGTGTCTACGGATTCAGGTGCAGATGGGTGTGCCGGTTCTGTCCCATCTCTATATGACTTTTATAATAACCCTCTTCCTATGTTCCATGCAGGAATCTTTTTTTATTACTACTTTTAAAATTTTTAAGTAATCTCTATACCCAACGTGGGGTTTGAAATCATGACCCCAAGGTCAAGAGCCACATGCTCTACTGAGCCATGACCCTATCATGTAGGAATCTTTTTAAAGAAATAAAACTTTCAGGCCTCGTTGCTCCCTTGCCTAAAATGCTTTTTTCTTCCTTCCTCCTTCACCCTTGGTTATCTCCTACTCATTCTCAGCTCTTGGTTCAAACATCCCCTCCTCCAGGAACTCTTCCCTGCTTGTCCAACAGGGTGAGCCCCTCCTCTCCCCTCTCAGGTCTAGGTACTCAATACCACTCTGAGTATTTTATCGGAGTGTATATAAAAAGTGCTTACTCTGTGTTAGGCCCTCTGCCAAATACTTTATTCCTATGATCTTATCAAATTTCCTCTAATCATATATAATAAGCACAGTTATTGTCCCCATTTTACAGAAGAGGAAACAAGTTCAGAGAGGATGATCACTTGCCAGGGTCACACAGCAGGGAAGGACTGAGCTGGATTCGAATCCGGGATTCAAATCCATCACAGCAGCCTTCCCATACACACTTCTAAAAATCTCAAAAATCTAGAGTCTAGGGACAGTGGAGTAGGGCTTAAGAGCACAGAATCAGATGGGACAAGGTGAAGTCCTGGCTCTGCCACTCTCGTTGTATGACCTTGGGGAAGAAGTTGGTTGACTTCTACAAACCTTGGTGTCCTCAGTGGTAAAATGGAGCTGATGCTATTATCTACCTTCTAGGCTGATTGTTGGCTACGATACGAGGTGGTGGGATCAGGCTGTCAGGACAAGGCGACTGAGAAGTGGGACAGCTGTGGTTGTAGGATGGGAGCCCCAGTAGGTCCTTAAATGATTTAGTGCCATAGTTCCACAGGAGGAGCAGTTGAGGGCTTGGAGAGGATGGTCTGCTAGGATGTAATGGTTGGATGTGTGTGTGTGTGTGTGTGTGTGCATCTGGAGATGTTGCCTGGGGCTATCCTATTCAGTGTATCTTAGGTAATGCAGTAGAAAGAGTAGGTTTTTCTAAGGGCACTGTGGCAGGCTGGGGACTAGGAGATGAGGATGAAGAAAGGAGATGGTGCAACAAACTTCTGAGCCTTGCTCAGGACTAGGGCATCCAGAGCGCCTTCAGTTAACAGAGATACAGTTAACCTTCAGGGTTGGAACTTTAGTCTCTTGGTTTGAGAATCCACGCATTTTTCAGAGGGGGGTAATTGCCCCTAATTGCTCAAGGTCACCCAAATAACCGGCCGTAGGGCTAGTCTCCCGGCTCTGGTTCTGCGTGGGGCACGGGGCTGCTTTGCAGCCACACCCGCCCACCCAAGAAGACCCCGGGGAAATCGCAGGGGAACCCCCCTCCAGAACTTAGGCGGCCTTCGAACACGGCAACTTCGCGAGCGCGGGCCCGGCCAGACCTTCCCCGCTCGCCCCCGCCCCGCGCGCCCCCTTTCGCCCTCCCCATTGGCTCGTTCTACGAAGGGCGCTGTCTAGGGGCCCTCTGGTCACCTTGTCCTCCGCGCGCTCTATGGAGAAAGGGCCCTGCGCAGGCGCGCGAAGGGAGCCTTCGGGGCCCGCGCTTTACGACACTTGTGCAGCAGCGGCCGCAGCAACTCGGCACTCCTTCGCGACGATTCGGCCGGGTGCCGCTGGCGGCTGTTGCCAGGGTGGGGGTCGCTTTGCGGCATGGCGATGGCGGAGGGCGAGCGGACTGAGTGTGCTGAGCCCCCCCGGGACGAGCCCCCGGCTGATGGCGCTCTGAAGCGGGCAGAGGAGCTCAAGACGCAGGCCAACGACTACTTCAAAGGTGCGCCTGCCCCGGAGGGGGCCAGGGAGGGTGGAGAGCGGCCCGGGGCAAGGGGTGCCCGGCCCGCGCGGAACCATGGCAACGCGGAGCGGCAGCCTGGGCGCGGGGCAGGCACTACCAAGTGACCCGGGTTGGGGAGGCCCAGGATGCCGCTACCAGGGGCCGACAGGGGGGGCTTCTGACAGGAGGGGTGATACCTAGAAGCGGCATTCGGAGCGGGTGCTACTAAATGGGGAGACTGGGGAGGGCGCTACCAAGTGTGCGGCGGGAGGGGGACGGGAGCGAGGGCATTTCCGAACGTGAGGTCCTTGAGAGGTGCTAGTTGTGGTGAGACCTGAAGAGGGCGCTGCCAAGTAGTGACAGAGGGCCGGGGAGTGATGGTGCTACCCAGTGGGGAGATTGGGGGGGGGGGGGCACTGTCCCAGTAGAGTAGGGAATTGTAGGGGTGGGGAATAGATCATTAGATGGGAGGGCAAGGAGATTGGGGGTTGCACGAGAAAAAGGGATGCGTGGGAGGCCCTGGGAGTAAAGGTGGGGAAATCCCAAGAATAGTATGACATCCGATCTTGGGAAAGAGTAAGATGTGGGGGCACTCATTCATTCAGTAATTCATTATGTTTCTAGAGCACCTGCTTTGCGCTAAGGACTGTGCCAGATTCTGGGGATTTAGCAGGGAATGAAGCAGATGTGGCCCTGCCCTTTTATAGCTTGTAATTCAGCAGGAGAATAAGACATTGAGCAAAAACACAAGAAATAATAAAATGCTTAGAAGTTATGAAGAATGCTTTGAACAAACCCCAACAGTGTGTGAAGGAGAGAATGAGGGCTGGAGGCTACTATATAGAGAGCGTGGTCAGGGAAAGCCTAACTGAGAAGGCATTTGAGAAGAATCGCGAAAGAGTGTTTCAGGTGGATGCAGCCAGATGTGCAAAGGCCCTGAGGTAGGAAATGAAAGACTAGTGTGGCAGAAGCTTTAGCAAGTTAGCAGGGAGATGGATACAAGATAAGTTTAGGACACGGGCCAGACCAGGTGGGGTTTCATAAGTCATTGCAAAGCTGGTTTGGATTTTACTGGGCTATTCAAGAGGAGACATTGAGTAGACAGATGGGCCAGTCTGGAGCTGCAAGGAGAGGAATTTGGGCCTGATCAGCCTATGCATGGAATAGAACACCTGCAAATGGATGAGGTCATCTAGGGAGAGAAGGGGCTGGAACCTTGAGGAATTCTAATGTTTAGAAAAGAAGAGGAAGAGGCTGAGGAGGAGTGGTCAGTGAAGTGGAAGGGAAGTTAGGAAAGGTGTCAGGAAAGATGAGAGAAGAGAGTGCTTCTAGAAGGAGGGGGGCTGTGCCTTGGGTGGGGTGCTGCCAGGGTGAGCACTGAGCATTGACCATTGGATTTGGCTTCACGAATGTTGGTGGTAGCCCTAAGAAGGGCAGTTTATAAGAACAGTTTTGGGCAACAATGAAGTTGGTAATTAGCTAGGAGAACACCCAAGGGTGAACAGGAAGTGAAGTAGAGACAGCAAATGTTGACAAAGTGGTTCGAGTATTTTGGTCCTAAAAGGGAGTGGAGAAATGGAGAGAGGGAGGTGCTTGCTTTCTTTCTCTTAAAGGATGGAAGAGTCCAAGAGTCTGGTCCAGTAGAGAGCTGGAATTGATCCTACAAGAGAGATGGGAGACTTACGGCAGCAAAGCTGGGGAAAAGAAATGGGGTTGGAATCTAGAGCCTTAGCAGCCTTCAGTTGGCCTTCAGTGGAAGCACAAGGGGATTCAGAGCATGAACGTTTGGTCAGGCTGCAGCCATGAGGAGAGGACCAGTGAGAGATGAGGCGGAGCCTTGGAGGCCAGTTCAGGGAGTGTGGATGTCATCCTGAGGGTGGTGGGGAGGCATGGTAAGATTCCCCAGCTTCCGGGCTGAGATTGGATGCAAGGGCAGAGCTGGAGGCAGGAAGGAGAAAAGGATGGTGGACAGGTAGATGAGAGGTGTCTCTGGTCAGAAACCAACAAGAAATGTTTCAGAGAGGATATGAGGGCTGGTGAGAGGGAGGAGGGAATGCCAGGCAGAAAGAACAGGATGGCAGAGGCCTATCCTGGCAAAGGTGAGCAGAACCTAGCCTCAAGGAAGTAAGTGGGGCCGGAGTGTAGGAGGCAAGGGAGGATGCTGAGCTTTCTACTGTGGACTCTGGGGAGCCATGGATAGTTCTGAGAAAGGGAAGGACAGAGTTAGGTTTGTGCTTTAGCTGGACCCCTACAGAGGGGCAGGACTGGAGGCTGAGGCAGGAACCCGGGCTGGCGGACAGATTGAAGCAGACCAGGGCAGGGCGGGGCTGGAGGGATGGAAGTGGATGAATAGATCTGAGATGTTCAGGAGGCTGCCTTGACAGAACATGGCGACTGCCTGGCTTCGGGGGGTTGAGGGGTCGGGAGAGGTGTCATCGGGAGAGGTGTCCAGGATGAGGCATGGTCTCCAGCTGGGGATTGGCTGTCCCTGAAATGGGGCTGAGGAAAAGCAGCAAGTATGAGGGTTGATGCTGAGGCAAGGTAAGAATTCTGGGAAACCGTAAGCCACGGGGAGGGGCCCCCTGCCCCCCAGGACCTGGGCGCTCAGAATCCCTGAGGCCGGGCATGCAGCCAGAGGTGCTCACATTGAGCTGGCACAGAGGAGAAAGCTACTGGTCCAGGCCCCTCACTGTCTGGCAGGCAATGGCAGGCACAGAGCCCCAGCCTCGGGGGCTGTGGGAATAACAATAAAAAGAATAATTACAGCTCTCTTTAATTGAGCCCCTGTGGTGGCCAGGTACACCACTTTGCTTAATCTTCCCCCCCGGGCACTGAGAGGTAGGTAGGAGCAGCCCTGTTTGTTTTATAGAGGAAGCTGAGGCTCAGAAGTGAAACCGCTTGCCCAAGGTCAGAGTGTGAGCAGCAGAGCCCGGATATCCCCCTTCCTCACCACGTGCTCCCTTGTTCAGAGTCCTTACCTGCAGCCTGCAGGGGGAAGAGGATATCCCCCTGCCAGCATGGCTGGATCCCCTCTACAAGCTCAGAGCCTGGTCCCTGCTGTTGCTCAGCTCTCCGGGCCTCATCATCCCCCATTCTATAAAATGGGAGGGGTTGGATTTAACCCCCAGAGAAGCCTCTGGGTCTAAGATTTTGTAGACATGGTTAAGAGCTCAGACTGCCTGGATTCAAATCTTGTTTATTTCCCTTATGTGCTGTGTCACCCCCTGGGCAAATGACTTAACCTCTCTGTGACTTCCTGTCCTCATCTCTAAAATGGGGACTGTCTTGAGGATTAGATGCACCGCATCTAAAGCAGATAGAACAGGGCCAGGATTTGGTGTCGTTGGGTAGATGCGGGAAGTACAGTCCCCTCCCATTTCCTCTGCCCGACTCTCCTCTCCTTTTCAGTTAGTCATATATTCACTTCTTTTGGAAGTATCTGCTGATGGCTTTCTCTGCCGTAGCCACATTTCATATGAGAGTTTATGTAGCCCTCACAGCTGGGTGAGGCAGAGAACGGCTGATCGTCATTCCGGCTTTTTCAGATGAGCCAGTGAAGATGCAGGGAGGGAAGGCTGTTTGCCTGAGTGGTCAGCATCCGCAGAGCCAGGTGTCAGGCTCCAAGACACCAGGCTCCCCACCCCAGGCCAAATGGCCACTAGAGTAACACCTCAGCCGTCAAGAGAGCTGGCCAGCTGGCCTCTGGAACTCAGCCAGGTGGCTGGAAGTAGTCCTCGAAGGCGCTGGCATTCCAGGGAGGGTCCGGCAGACTTAGACTGTCTGGTTCTGCCCTTGCTTGTTTCTGGGAAGTCTGTGGGGGGCCTGCCCTCCGGGACTCCTAGTCCTGAAGAGACACACCCATCACCTAAAGGTGACAAACCGAGAAATGAGCAGGGCTGGGATAGGTTAGCCCAGAGGCCAGGGCAGCCCAAAGGAGTGCCCGACCCAGCCTTGGAGTCAAGGAGGGCATTCCAGAAGAGGGGACATCTGAACCCTCTTTGAAAGATAGTGGGTATTAGCCTACAGGAGGTATTATTTTGTTCCTGGCCATCTCCCCAGGACCTGACTTCTCCTTTTCCTAGTGTCAATCTTTCTGTCTCTGTCTTCCTTCCTTCCTTCCTTTATTCATTGAAGAATTATTCATGGAGCTTGGAACTCTCTTCCATTTTCTTCACCTGACTCACTCTTTTCTCACTCTCCAGGTCTCCCACTCTGGCATCTTCTTGGTCTGCCCCCGTGCTAAACGCTCATCAGTAGTGTGTGTGTGTGTGTGTGTGTGTGTGTGTGTGTGTGTGTGTTTGTCGCCCACTGGACTGTGAGCCCCAGCAGGGCAGGCCAGAGCAGAGGGGATGCTGTGTCCTCAGGGCAGGGCCCTGGCCCCCATAGAGCTTAGGTTCAAATTGGGGAAATAGATTATAAGCAAACAAAACAAAGGAAAGTTATGGTTTATCTGATGGTGCTGGACAAAAATGAGGTGGGAGTTAGGGCAGCATTCCCATTTTAGGCCAAGTGCTGGGAGAAGGACTCTCAGACTCAAGTCCAGAGCGGGTAACATAAGTTGCCCAAAGACACCCGGCAAATAAGAGGTGAAGCCACAGATTGGGCTCAGGTCACCCGCCCCTTGTGCTGGATTCCCTCTCAGGGGCTACCTGGCATGGAGAATGAGAATGGGAATGTTTGGTCTTGGCTTGGCCCACAGTTCCTGTGTACCATTTGCCTTGTGACCTCAAGTATGAGTTTCCCTCACTGAGCCTCAG